AAGTAAATGACATAAACAGGCGAAGACCTATTCTTTACATGAAATTATCAATACCATTTATAAAGACTGATGAAAGACAACATAGAAAATATAAATCTTCAACAACGCCTAGGCCTAAAACTGAATAAGTACAGATACATCTAAAACATTATAAAAATTTTGAAAACATAAACATGCTAATACTAAATTGAAATGAACAAATGCATTAATGTTGTATTGTCGGCAATATTTTATTTCAATGCTTGGCATATGAAGTATTATGCATCACATATGGAGAAGTTACGATAGCGTCAGAAGTCTCTTGCCAATATTCAATAATTACAGCACATTACCATAAATTCATTGATTTTTTTCAGCATACATGTATTAGGGAGTCATTCAGTCAACAAATTGCATGCTGGATTTCCTGTTCAACGACTGAAGATGGAAGATATTACAAAATCAATTTAATGTGAAGAATTTTTCATTGACTATGGTCAAAGTTGTTTTCTGTATAGCCATTAGGTTCCTCCCTTTTAAATTCATAGAATGACTAATTCACTCAGGTTTTCACTACATCCAAGTGAACTTTGTACATTACATACTATCTAGTTTAGTTGTGTTGATTTATTGTAGTGATGACCTAACATCGTTCATTTCAAGTTTTGATCTGTATAACTCATGGACGCCATTGATTTGAATTTTGGTCAAGGTACTTAAAATTGAAATTTTGCCGAAAAAACAATGAAAGTTAGACGATTTGTAAAACAAGAACCATAAATGATATTACATCAGAAAGTTCTCAATGAATTAGACAGAATAAAGAGTTCTTCTGTCAATATATCACACAAACAAAATCTAAGCCGTTAAAAAGTTGACTTCTAATGCAAGATTAAAAGTTTTGTTGTATTCGAAATTAGACAAAATAGCACCATTTTGAACAATAATTGACATTACACATTCCTGCAGTGGAACACAGGGATTGAGAGGGAGGGTGGGGGTGGTTTACGTTAAAACTCATCATGCCGGATAAGGGCTTCCCCAAAGTCAGTAGCTTGGCTGCCAACAAATAAATCATGTTTATCAAGAACTTCTTTCTTTGAGAGTTTACCATCCTAAAGAAATAAAAAGAAAAACGTTCTATCAAATATATAATATTCTTTGTTGCATATTGCACAAATGCCTCGTCTATGTAATGAGATGGATAGACCTAGTACAAGCCCATGTTTTGATGACAAAACAAGCAGCCTATCGGCTGAGATAGCTCCGCTGTTAGCAATGCACATTTCAATTAAAGAACTGAAGACATCATTAGAAAATGAACAATATGTATAGTATCAAAGCAATCGGACTTACAGTTTTTAACAAGAAGTCGAAAATATCACTTTCTACCAAAAATGACCAAAATATTCACCAAAATTAGAGAATTGAAGATACCATCACAAAATGAACAAATCTGAGAGAGGTCCACATGTAGTACCTATATATGTAATATCAAAGCAATTGCACTTGCGGTTTTTAACAAGAAGTCGAAAATATCACTTTTTACCAAAAATGACAAAAATATTCACCAAAATTAGAGAATTGAAGATATCAACATGAAATGAACAAACCTAAGAGAGGTCTACCCAAGGTACATATACACCAAGTATCAAAGCATTCAGGCTTGTAGTTTTCAAGAAGAAGTCGAAAAAGTAAAACATTGACACGGACGACGGAGACGGACAATCACTCATATGATAAGCTCCGCTCGACAAAGTCGACAGCGGAGCTAAAAAGCTGCATTATAGGTCTCATGCCACTAATCAACCAATGGCTGCTCGTAGCCCAATTTAAATGCCTTGCAAGAACCAATGAAATTTTTTAAATATTTTTTTCTCGGGTACTCCGTTTGAGGACGTGATTACCTGGGTCAAAGATGAGACCAGCATGTGGTCTTTTGTTTACTACTTAGCGGCTGTGTACCTGTGGGTTTATTCTGTGTGCATTTGGATGTTCTAATCTTGGCGTTTTTCCAGTGATTTCTCTAGGTGCAATCCAAAAACAGTAGGTGTGTCTTGTTTACCTGAGATTTGTAAGAGTTTGAGCTGGCCAACATGTTAGTTTTTTTCATGTGGTTGATTACTTGCACGCTGATTACCTATTTTTGAGCCATGTTTTCAACTTTGTTTATTATTTTCATATAGCAATAGCAATCTTTTCATATGTTAACATTGTCGTCTATGGAGTTTTAATCAGTGGTATGAGCCCTATATATGCTGGGTATATTTCATTTTGGTATTAACTTTGAACAGGACGAAACTTACCATGCCTGAATGAAAACGACCTAAGCATGAACAAAAATAGCTGTGGACATGCTTTAATAGTGATTTTACAACCACACTAATATATTTTACCTTGTCAACATCAGACTCGTACACTAAATGTTTGGACTCAGCTTCTGCATGATCATAATCTTCTGGCATTATCCAGTCTTTCACTTCTCTTTTGTTCATTTTACCATCCTTATCCTTGTCACGGAATCGAGTAAATTGCTCACGTTCTATTTTCACCCAATCAGGCTCATCTTCATCGTCATCAGACGGATACATATCTCCTGAAATTGACATGTCCATCAGAGAATTGGTAATTTAAAATTATTTGGGATTATGTGTCTTGTGATACGTCTTGTGCAATTTGTGAAAATTAGAGCTGAACGCTTTTCCATAGCTGGTGTCTGCTAAATTCAAATCTGTAGTTGAGGGCACTATAGTACAAGCACTGATACTATCTAAGGGGACAGACAAAGTCAAATACTGGTGTAACTTGTAAATAACAATTCTAATGTGAAACTGACAAAATTCTAAGTTGGATTTTTTTTTCCAATTTGGATACAGTTTTGTTTCCCACATACCTATGTATTCTTCTAATGATATCATACCATCACCATCTTTGTCAATATCTTCCATAGTTTCCTACATAAATAAAATGTATATTGTAAGAAGCTTTCCATTTAATTTTATTCAGTTTTAACAAAGAATATTTTTGTCGCCAGAACAGACAAATTGCGTATTGGTCTAGGAAAACTGTCATTCACTATGATTGCACCTGATCACATATTTGTACTACAATATCACCCTCCTCTCTCCAATACCTACCTCAACTACAATATCTCTTACATGGTCATCTGATTACCTACCTCAACTACAATAACTCTCATATGATCACATGATTACCTACCACAACTACAATATCTCTCATCTGGTCACCTGATTATCTACCTCAACTACAATATCTCATATATGGTCACATAATTACCCACCTCAATTACAACATCTCTCATATGGTCATCTGATTACCTACCTCAACTACAACATCTCTCTATGGTCATCTGATTACCTACCTCAAATACAATATCTCATATGGTCACATGATTACCCACCTCAACTACAATATCTCTCATACGGTGACCTGATTACCTACCTCAACTACAATATCTCTCATATGGTCACATGATTACCTACCTCAACTACAATATCTCTCATATGGCCACCTGATTACCTACCTCAACTACAATATCTCTCATATGTTCGCCTTCCTCTGGATGCAGAAAATGAGCAAACTCTTCTTTTGACAGTTTACCATCTCCATCTGTGTCAGCTCTCTGCCATCTTCTCTCATCTCTCCTTATCATATCTTTATAGTCAAATCCTTCGATATCATCAAAATCATCATCTAGAAGTCGTACAAGTAGACACACACCATTACATTTATTGTAATTAGAAGCTAAGATAGCTATTCCAACTTTTCATGGGGCACACATACCATTGTTTACGTCTTCCTGCTCAAAGCTGGGTGCACAAAACTACATATTATATTGTATAATATTATATACAGTGATACACTAACAGCAATCCTAATGTACTGATGAGCAATTTGACATTAATGGCACAAGTTGACAACGATAAATGACAGCATACAAAATGATAGAATCGTTAATACACAATGTACCGCCAGTAACATCACTCATACCAAATTAAGCTGATGAGGTTTGGGGGAACATGATAGCCAACTGAAACTTTCATAGCTGGATAATTTCTCTACAAGCTAACTTTAAAATTTTTCTCAAAAAGACCTTACCAGGCCAAATCCCATATGTTTTCCCTTTGTATATGTCCCAGGTTAGAGACATTACATCGTATCGTTTCCACTGCTCCTCTAAATGCTCTCTGACATAGTGATTCTAGGGATGAGATGAAGAAAAAAAAGAGAGACCAGGTTACCCCTAATGACTCACCAGCCAAATAGCCATAAGTAGTGTTCTTGAACTCATCCCATGTTAAATGACCATTTTTATCAGTGTCGTGTACGTTCCACTGACGATCTACATCTTCCATAATGTATCTATTCTGTTAGAAGGGAAAGGAATTGAGTGCAGATGTGAGCAAGAATGATTAGAAAGTTAAAAAGCATTCAAGTGACTGTTTATAAAAAGTCTCGTATAATCACAATACTAAGAATCAAGGTATGATTCAATCTCTTTACATTTTTATTGTAAAACTATTCCAAAAGAAATTCATGCGTGAATGTATTACTTGATGTGTAATTTCAAATGGTGAATGCAAATGGTCCAGGCTTGGAAAACTTTTGAACAAAATCCATTCTTGCATTACAGAGATCAACAGCCATAGTTGCCAATTTCTGTGTGCAAGTGTGGGACTGGTATGTGTGATGAATTTTATCATACTGTGGAATACTTTCGCTGAAAAGGCTTTTTGGGTGTTTTGTATGGAATTTATTTTCACGGATTTTTGATGAGTTTAATGTGAAATGTAGGGAAAAAAAGTATATTCGCTGGATTTAATTTTCACGGAATCATCCCTACAGCGAAAATAAATTCCAAGCGAAAATTAAGTATTCTACAGTAGTTGGTTTGAGACCTTAGAGAAATGGCCATAAGTCACCATCTTTAATTAAATCACCACAGCAATACACAAGTACTTGTGTCCAATAATGTACTACATGTATGTATTTATGTACAAAGTGTGAATGCTATTAGTTGACAGCATTTGTTAAAATTAATTTGGGCATTTAATTAGATTCATGGAATACGAAGATGTGCATTAAGTTGCCATCATGTATGCACTTAAAACTATGTAAGCCTAAAATCCAGTTCTGGAAGTATAGAAATCCATTATTTGGTTTAAAATGGCTTCCAAGACAGCCATCCTCAACGTGTGACATGTATGATGTACACTTGAATGATTGGTGTAGGCATGTCTGAGATGTAAAAGATGCATACAGATGAGCCTACTACCAATAATTTGAATAACATTAGCCAGTATGTGAATGAAAGTTGCTTTTTTTTTACAATCCAAGAAAAAGGATATTAAAACAAATTATCACATGTTGAATACATTCACAATTCTGTGTGAAAGTTATATATCAATTGAAGGCAGCATTGAGCATTGGAGACTTTTTATAAATACTGTTATAAGCAAACATGCACAAGTATGAAAAGGAGCTGTCTTCCCTCAATTAAATCTCAGACCACTATACAGACTGGAAATCCTCCCAACAAGGTCGAAAAATATAACTTTTTGGCATACTATACAGTTTGTCAATAGAGGGCATGATTGGGTTGTCTATAGTGTACGTAACCTCTTGAAATTTGCTTTTCTGGCAACTTATTTGAATTTTTTTTGTTTATTTCAAGAATGACGTGCATGTAAAAAGAAACACCTATGTTTTCTTTGCCAAAGGGATAGACAAGTATTCTGTGATTATAAATTTGCGTTTATGTATTCACAGGAATGTAAAGGCAAATTTATCTTGTTTTTCCAAAGATTTAAGGATGTATTTATTTATAAATAGATATACTGCTATTTTTTATAAAAAAAAGTCACATTCTGGTGCTTATTTTGAATTTGGAACATTGAAAGTTGCTGTAATTATTACTTGTTAGGAAAGAGTCATGAATGTAATTACAACAAAAATCATGAAAATCAAATTAATTTTTAGGGCCAAGGTATATAACAACCTGAAATTAAACATTTTAAGTTACACCTGTTTGAATGTGATTTTTCTCATATATTAATTTGGTTTACAGTTTTTTCCAAGTTCAAACAAGTCTGTTCTTTTTGTGGTCTGAGATAACATACTTTAGTGAAATTATTTTTGGGAGAAATGTACGGATGATGAAAGATGGATGGATACATAGGAAGAAACCATACAAAAACAAAGGATCTCCACAAAGTGTTCAATAGTCTTGAAAACCTGCTTTTTAGTCTCAATCAGAAAACTCCATACCTGTGTGTATTTGATCCAATCTTTGAGTTCCTCATCAGTAACAAAGCCATCATTATCTTTATCAATCTTATCATAGATTTGTCTAAAACAATGAAAGACAGTTGTCAATTAACAGTCTCAATGTATTTGGCAGGATTGACACTTTTGGACAAAAACAGGTGAATTGTATCAAGCATGTACTTCTAAACCGTATACAATATTTTATAATTTTTTAAACTTCAGTTTTAGTTGCATAGATACAAGACACTTCTAGTCACTAAAAGCATGAAGCAGAGCGGTAAAAAAGTATTTAACTCTCAAGTTGTACAAAAACAAAGTATTTATACACATTTCAACAGAAGAAACTTAACCTATATTTCAAGTTGGGTACAAGGGCAGGGATATATCAACTGCATCAGGAAAAATACAAAATCCGAATTAATCAGCCGAGAAATGGTTGATCAGGGATCTCACCAGCCTAACGTGAGTGCCGGTCGGTCATGAATATTAATGAGCTATATGAATATTAATTATGGGTCAATAATTCCATTAACCAATCAGAATGCCGCATGGTAATGCCGGTAGAATCTGAAATTTTCCGAATGGTAGTGATCATAAAAAGGGAGTCATCAACTTGACGACACAATGAAATTTTGAGGATGATGACAAAAATCACCTGTCAAATTTCATCAAATCGTAATAGCAATTGACTTGTACACAAAGCATTCCATGCATTCTTTCCTTGGTACCAAATTCAAACGAAATTTATAAAAAAATTGATGAGATAAACCATAACCCTGAACCCACAGGCTGATCATCCTTGCCTTATAATCATTGAGTAAACAGTAGCCAAAAAGATAACACTACATGTACAATGTACCTTAAAACCATAAAAACATCCATCAGAAACTAAAATACCAGACGGATGTCCTAATTTACATAGAATTAGCATAGCATCTTATGTGCATATCTAAAAGATCAGTGGAAAGAAAAAATTGGTTGGTTGGACCACACAGCCAAAACCATTGAATGATCGTATAGTACAGTAAAACATGATAACAATTACTGAAACCTTTAATAAATGGTTGTTGCAGCGCACATAATAGGTTTCGTAGTATCTACACATATGATCGTCACATGTACAAACACTGACACACTATCAGTCACAAAATGCTGATATTAAATATCAATGGCCATATCTACTCCTACTGGTATTATTAGACTGTAGAATAGCCAGAGGATAGGGATATACCACAAACAATTCAATGCTAACAAAAAAGCATGTAGGTAATTGTCCATTTTGGTTTTTTGACCTTTGAACTGTAGACTACCCTAATGCTAATGCTTGACTGGTGTAGGTTTCTTCATACTTATCATACCAGTTCCAGTGCCACGTTGCAAAGTTAACACATTGGTATGCACATCAATAGAGAATACTGGAAACTGATCATTCCTAGCATAAATCATGCAGACTTGCATGAATGAAATTGGTACATATTTACTGTATACAGTACATGCACATGGAAAATGAAATTCTCTCACAATATAATTGAGGTGGTTTACTTTTACTGCAAAGCATTGTTATTAATTTGAGTCAGAGGTTTCAGAAAAGGAGAAACAAGTTTGCCATGATCAATTTACACATCTGATTTGTAATCAGCAATTGAAAATCAAATTCTGTTTGAAGTATCACTATATATTGCATTACTTAACTAGTCATCAGGGTTCCTAAAAGTATCAACTCCTAACATTTTATAACTTCAGATACTCTGGTATTAACCTATTGTTTATCGTATACATCAATTTATCAGTTGATAATTGGTATATTCTAAAAATATCCCATTTGTCATACCGATACATCTTCAATAACACTCCATAAACACAATTTTTAGTAACCAGTTTAGTAGCGTGACATTATAATATTAAGATAGGTTAAATAAACATCTTCTTTAAACTTTTATTAACATGTATTTTAGTTTTATATAACATTGGCATACCATAGTGTAAAGATACTGATGCAGTTATAAAATATTCATTTTTTACTCATTTCAAATGAATACATTAGTTCAACAATGATCTATTGGATATAACAATGCTGTCTACTGCCAAGTGGAAGAGATCAATTGTTATACAGCAGACAGGAAGGATGTCAGGAACTTTCTAGAGTTATGTGAGTGAGAACAATTAGTGTTTTCATGAAAGTTGCTGTAGTATAATGAAATTTGACCCCCTCCCCTATTTGTACACGTCACCATTTACTTGACATGGCTTAGTTATCCTTGGCCAGGAGATAACCGGTCGAGATCGCGATCGCGATAAATATGTATTTGCATGCGATAGTGCCGTTTATTGAGGTCATTCGATGAAACGATAAATACAATATTACCAAGACGTACACAAATCACAGTGTTAGTAACGTGATTCACATTTGCAAGTTGTTTAGCCTTAATATTGTCAGCCCATTTACTTTTACACAGAACTGACCACATAAGGCGCCAACGAAATTACAATACAACTAGAAAACCTCATCATTCATGGACTTTTAAATTCGCATGGGGCAAACTTAAAAACAACGGGGTCCGTGTGTTGGCAATAACGACAAGCGCATTAAATGGCTTGAATACAACCATGGTGCATGAAAGTACGTATAAAGAGGGTTATTCACGTGGAATGTGTCGAGAATATAAGAAATTCAAACATAGTTACCCTAGACGAGTTTTGCTTTCTTCTGGACTCAGTTCATCAAACTCACTGGCCCCATCTTGTCCAAGAAATGCTTCGTGGTCATAATCGGGATTGTGTAAATCGCCATCGTAGTGATCTTTGTCACTAAGCTTTTCTTCCAAGATTCTATCTTTCCGCGCCTGATTTTTGTCTGTCGGCTTGGCAACAACGGATAGAAAAAGTATGCCGAGAGCAATGCTGAGTACCGATGATGTGGACTTCATTGTCAGTGAGAAGTAAATGTCAACAGTTTTGGTAAAGAAAATGTCTCCGAAGAAACGCAAAAGTTAAGTAGGTAAACGAAAGTGGAAAGAATTCGTTCGACCAAGAGATACAAAATTCAAATTGGCAAAAAAATCAAGATGAATCAACTTCTAATGAATCAACTCCAAAACAGTCAAGGAATCAATGGAGATATGTAATGAAGTCTGCAAGGTACTGGCAGAAGTTATCCAATCATTTGGCAGTATCAACAACACGTGACTAAGACGGCCCAATCGGCATCATTTTTACAACCAAGTATGATATCTGACACTAGTCGAAGCGAACGATATGTCTCGATTTAGGATTGGTCAAAATATATACTCGCCACGTTGCAAATGTCTTCATGTGTACAGCCACCTCGTCCCAGGGTTCCGTGTTTGAAAATGTCATCTACGTGACCTCAGTGCCGGGCCTTTTTTAAAAGTACGATAAAGATTGTCAAACAAATGAAAAATACTCCTCGATTGCGATGCACCGAAGCCAAAACCATTAGTACACCTGGTTTGTAGTGGCGATTGACTGGTCTACAAATTTCAACTCCAGCTTAGAAAACTGAATTTGTACGTGGACAATTGGCGCGAAATTTAATTTGTTGATTTAGTGTTGTCGTCTGGTCTTGGATATTTAAACGCCCACATTTGTTAACCTCAGCCCATATTCCACTGAATTTGCTGAATTAGTAGATAAATAAGTCAACGATCGAAAGGTAAGATCATGTTTATATTTATTTATATTTAGGAAGCGATCGTTGTGATTAGATAATTTTATTAATTACAAAATAGAGTGAAGATTTCTGCATGTTTTGTTTTTGTGATTCTGCCAGCTGAGGCGCCTATGTTAAATGTGTTGTTTTAGTGATTTATTTATATATCGCGTTTCATTTTCCGAAGAAAATGTTAACGAAAAAATATGAAAGTGCAAAAAATACTATTATAAAAAAAGAAATTGAATGTCAGAAAATGGTGATGTTGTTTTCCAAATGGGGAAAGTCTTCTGACTGTGAGAACAATTAGGTCAGCAATTAAGATAAAAGTCCACCTTATTTTGACTGTTTGTGCAGTAAGCCCATTGTCATGGCCCTACAATTTTAGTATTTGACAGTGAGAACTAATGACCTGCCCAGTTTCACACGTGCAACGATTTTACCACAGTGAAGTACTATTCCGTCATCGCTTCCATGATACTATGTAGATCTATCGTTCAATGAAAATAAAATAAATGTTTTACCCAAAAAAACAAGCGACAAGTTGAACTGTTTTTATTTGAATAGAGGTTACCTACTGATTGTGCTAGACTGCACATGCTATTTGACTAATATTCCATTCTGCGCAATTGTGATTATTATTATTATTATTAAAACTTCAATACCGTAACAACTCAAAAATTTTGCCTACTCTAATAATTTGACTACCTTATTTTTGCAGTTTTTTGTAATTTATTGGCTTCTGAAATTTTGACAGATCACTGAATTGTTCTGTTTTTAGTACTAAAAATTTTGTCCACCTCAGATTTGTCTTGGGCCACTGGTTTGAAACTAATTTTAGGGTTTAATTAATGAAAACAGAAACCATTGAACTGACTGTACATCGTGTTATGGACACTGGATGAATGTAAACATCACGCAAACTATCACCTACTACTGTAGACGTACACACAAAAATAACTTAACTTTCTCAGGATTTTTTCTAGAAACAAAGATAGGGTTCTCCCTACGAGGGTGTGGAGTTTTTGATAATTCCAAGTTAAAATGGAGCATTCTATGGCTTCCTTTGGGCCAAAAATACAATCAGACAGGTCACAGTTGAAGACTGTGGCCACATGTGATCCCTGGTCAATCTGAATTTTATGGTGTCCAGAGGATCTTCTCCCCAGGGTAAGGGGGTGCATGGCCATGGCATGAGAGTGCTGCGCCCCTGTTCCCATGTTTAAAAAAAAACCTGTTTCTGAGGTTCTACCAGCATTGTTCATTATTCAGTCATGGTTCAATACAAAAAATAAAATGTTGTGATCTGACATATCAATTTGATTAGATTCAATTTGAAACCTTTAATAGGAAATGGATTTGTAAAAAATGTTGATTTAGTGCTTTTACACGAGAATTGGACATTGGCAGTCATTGAATCAAATTACAAAAATGTTCATGTTGATGTATCTATTGGTATACTGTCTTTGTACAAAATTTAAACAGAAATGTTCATAAAAAGGGTGCTTAACCGGATATATACGGTAATTTATAATAGAAACAGAATATGATTGTCGATATTTCAAGGTATTAAATTCTACTTTTCTGTTTCTCCGGATGACAATGGCAGGTGGCAGTATACATGTCCAGAACAGTTCACATAACCTCAGATTACTATAGTATAGACTAGCAATGCAACTTTTTCTTTGGTCACATGCGTGTCACGTTTGTTTTGGGGCCTAACTATTTAATCCAAATAAACAACCGCGACTATAATGTAATGTGATATCCACTATTGTTTCATCAATTAACGTGAGATGGTGCAAGATGTACACAGGGAGTAATATTGTGTAATTATTGGTTAAATACTTTTCACAAAACATATGCAAGTTATTTCTATGTTTTTTCTTCTTGTTTCTGTAATAATACAAATAACGAGAATAGAGATAATTAAAATTTGCTCCATTAAAATATCAGCTTGGCACTGATTTTTTACAGCAAGTCTCAGAAGTATTGGGGCAAGCCATTTGCACTCGCTAGTGAATTGGTAACTGCTTTGGTTTTGAATGAACGATTGGCTTTCTAATCTCGATGGTGCTGTCTTGTGGTCACCCCACTTTGGGTGAATCTATAATAACAGTAACTGGACCGTCATACT